ATATTTCCAGCAAGCAGGGGGCGTGACACTAGTCATGTGACCTCGCTGACGCAACAATATACATGTTATAGATACCCAGTCATTTCTAGTCAACTTTAGCCTAATTGTTTACATAAGCAGGAAAATAAGTGCTTTAAGAAACAAACTAAACATTCGATTCGTAGACTCAGAACGATGAAAAATCGATAACAGGAAATCTTAATTTACTCTGTACAATGTAAGAGAGCTTCTAGTAGGTATGGCAGTATTTAACTAATTTAATTAAATTAACGACAGCAAATTACGAAGTTCCTCAGTGTTCTTATTGTGTGCACTTACTTGCTAAACATATAAAATGTATATATATCTAATGTTCTACATATGAAATCAAGATTATATTGTAACAACAGATGCTTTATTGGTTCACAGATCTTCAAATCAGCTAAAATAACAAAGGATAAGTTCAAAGGTTTGAATGGTTTAGCGTGAATGTATGAAAAATAACATACAGGTCAATGACCTACTAACAAGCTTTAAATACTTTGGCAATTGTCTTGTAATTCACTCCTGAGGATGACGTTGTAACGTCGAAACATGTAGTCGTCAACTTTTTGAAGACCATAGATAGGCCTAAATAAAATATTTTTAATTGTGTACCAGTTTAACGTTGAATATTATTTATGATTTTAACCACAACACCTAGTTTGAGACTATAAGACGTAGATTTCACGAAATAATAATTTGATCTAAGTAAGAGTTTATTTTCTTCCCGATTTGTAAAAAAAAAAAAAAAAACCTTACGTGATATATATAAAAATTATTATTATTTTTGAAACCTGCGTTGCTGAATTATGGAAAATCCGTTATTAAAACCAAAACAACTTTTATAAAATTTAAATTCTCAGGCCTGTGTAATTAGGAATTAGGCTTAGATACATTTTGAATTCAGTTATATAAACATATGTTTTCCATTCATATTTAGGCTTATTTCCCATCTTCAGAAACAGGATATTAAACAGTTAAAAACGTAAAACTCTTCAAATACTATAATTAAAAAAGGGGATATAAAAGGATCCTTACCAAGAAGAGGTATAGACTCTGATGTTTCTGGCATCTGTTCTGCAATAGCCAACATGAAGACAGAAAAAGCTAACAGAACAGTTATGCCCAGGGCAATTTTCTCTCCGGACTCTGGTGGCAAACAAAAGACTAGCAGAGTTAGGACGGACATCATCATACAGGGCATGACTACATTGTACATGTAATACAGTGTTTTACGTCGAATCACGATTGTTATTGTTACATCTGGAAAAGGTTCAATGCAGCACGAGTAGTACACAACGTTTCGCACAATTCGGGCTTCCAAAAGCTCCCATTCACCGTTGGGAACGTAGTTCGACAAGTCGACTTCAGACGTTCTGTTTGTGACATCTACTTGGAGTCCGTCGTAGATCCAGGATCCCAATTTCAGGATGCAAGTCTGATCGTCAAATGGAAAGTAAGTCACATCCACTGGGCACGTACTTCTTAGTTTGGTTGGAGGTGGCCAGAAAACGTTGCCATTGGGTTCTAGCATTGCTCTGCTGTTCATATAGCCCCTTGTGTAATCATCAGCACTAAGTAGGACAAAATACATTTTGAATTATGCTATCAGAATAAACAGGATTTTTTCTGCGTAAAGACTGTTAAAGTACGAGTTGATATTCGTTTTTAATATTCTACTTGCAGTCATTTGTAAGATAATATCTGTATTATATTTAAATATTCTATAGGCCGGGCGTGATATTGTCGGGTTGCAGTTGGAAGATTGAAGACTTGAGATAAGTAACTGAATACGACCGTTCTTTTAGCTGATACAGCTTATGAAAGTAACAGTCAATCATGCATGTAGGAGTTATATCTGATTAGCTCAGGGGATTCATGGCTAATTCATTAGAGTCAGTGGATTATCTACCCGATAAGCTCACCGAGTTAACTCCTCCACTTAGCTAATCGTAAACATACCCCAATCGAGTTAACTCCTCCACTTAGCTAATCGTAAACATACCCCAATCGAGTTAACTCCTCCACTTAGCTAATCGTAAACATACCCCAATCGAGTTAACTCCTCCACTTAGATAATCGTAAACATACCCCAATCGAGTTAACTCCTCCACTTAGCTAATCGTAAACATACCCCAATCGAGTTAACTCCTCCACTTAGATAATCGTAAACATATCCCAATCGAGTTAACTCCGCTAATCACTTTAGCTGATGATGAAGATATTTTCACTGACCCCGATTGGGGTATGTTTACGATTATCTAAGTGGAGGAGTTAACTCGATTGGGGTATGTTTACGATTAGCTAAGTGGAGGAGTTAACTCGATTGGGGTATGTTTACGATTAGCTAAGTGGAGGAGTTAACTCGATTGGGGTATGTTTACGATTAGCTAAGTGGAGGAGTTAACTCGATTGGGGTATGTTTACGATTAGCTAAGTGGAAGAGTTAACTCGATTGGGGTATGTTTGCGATTAGCTAAGTGGAAGAGTTAACTCGATTGGGGTATGTTTACGATTAGCTAAGCGGAGGAGTTAACTCGATTGTGGTATGTTTACGATTAGCTAAGTGGATTCAGTGGAGTATCTTTGAGGTTAACTTATTGGGCTCAGTGGATTATCTATCTGGTTACTTCATCGTGTTAAGTGGACTATATGCCATTTGTTTAATTACTGGATTCAGTATGGTAACTTTTTGGTTGAATGCTCGCTTCGGTGTGCCAGTTTTATTTAATGTTTAAGTTTTCGGTATATTATAACACAGATGTTGGGAAGACGCACTACACTTATATTTATGTCTAGTGTCTAGAACAAGAAATATTATAACAGAGAAATCCAGCACAGTTTAATAATGGATGCAAAACCTTTTATTAAAAGTGGCTTATACAGGGTGATTTTAAGGAAAGACCCATGTTTAAAAAAGATTAGAGCTTAAAATTTGTATTTTGTATTCGTGGCAAAGTTACTGAAGCCATCTGTCACGGCCTCTAATTTTGAGCTACTGACCAGAAGGAAGGCAGCCAGTCAGCAGCACCTTATCATCCTTTATCCACGCTATATGATTGGATCATTCTTATAACGTGCCCACAGCTTAAAGTGCGTGGAATATTTCATGGTATAGCAAGGATCCAAACCCTGCTTGCTAGCTCCAAAATCTAGAGCTCTATCACACGGCCTACCCACTTTCTTTATCATAAATAAAATATAAAACCCTTGTCGTAAAGAGCACAATAAAAGCCATATTTCTGTTATTCTTCAGGTTTGAACTTGGTACAGGGCCTTTGAAAAAATATCACAGAAAATGTTCAATATTTTTTTTCTGCCATTCTCAATTAGCGTAGCAAGCCATTTCTTAAATGAAGCTCACAATCCCCTTCTAATGATATTGTTTTAGATCAATCAAAGTACAAGGGCTATATTTTATAGACACTCCCTTTGAGGAAACCTTACAGCCAAAGATTTTCAGGGATCTGGCTGACCTTGAAGAGGGCTTTCAACTTCTACTTAGAATTGGTTTTTAACCAAAGTAAAATTGTTATTATTTGCATAGCGCGGTTGAACAATAACCCATACACTAGCCCGCATTTTATGTAAATCATAATATCGTATTGTCAAAAGAGAGAATAAAAAATACAATATTATTTTGCAAGAATAACTATTTTGTTATGCAGTATAATAAAGATTAGTGTGGACAAAAGTACTTTTAAAATGTAATTATTTTAGATATTTTTTCGTCCTGTATTTATAAATACTTGTCATTGACGTACAGTGAATGACAATTAACAATTAAGACTTTAATTATTTTATTATTATTTCTCTGCTTAAAGTTTAATCTCCTTGTAGGTAATGTATATCCAAGTAACTTTCGATCACAGCAAGCTACCTACTTAGAACGAATCTAAAAAGCAGCCGGTAATGAGTATAGCTAATTAACGATACCTTTTTACGTTCCCACTTATATGAAATATAATGCATTGTTTCATTAGTTAGTTACTCTCACTATTAATAATATTTTCGGTAGTAAAGTGAAAGGTGTATTTTTCTTAATCGGCGTTCAAAATTTTCAATCACAACGGCAACCCTAATGTTCAGGCATAGCCTCCTTTAATTTATAAATGACGACTGGAAGAAGGAAAAACCAATCAGCAACACCCGTCGCTTATGCAGTTATTCTAACCAAATAGCGGGATTAACGGTCAAAGTTATAGTGTTCCCACTTAAAGTGGGGAACAGTTTAGTGACATATCTCGGCTCTAAAGTTGGGCCTGAGATTAACGGTCAAAGTTATAGTGTTCCCACTTAAAGTGCGGAACAGTTTAGTGACATATCTCGGCTCTAAAGTTGGGCCTGAGATTAACGGTCAAAGTTATAGTGTTCCCACTTAAAGTGCGGAACAGTTTAGTGACATATCTCGGCTCTAAAGTTGGGCCTTTCGATTCAGAACTCTACTCGTTAATCACTAGGACGCGTCCACTCAGATTTTAGTTCTTAGTTTGTAGATAAATATTATGAAAAACACCTTCACAGTAATTACAGTTCGACCAGTTTACTTTGATGCGTCACTAACGCTTGTTTAGCTCACGTATCTCCCCCCCCCCCCTGAAAAAAAATATTTCGAAGTTGTACAAATATAATTGAGGGTTGCAATTTTATTAATACCTTAGAAAAAAAAGTCTATGATTATATAGACTATTCAAATCAGTTGTTATTAAAACAAATTAACAAGGTTTAAATATAATCTCCTATTTTATAACATTTCTGCTTGTTTACGATATTACCATGTTTATAAATATTTAAGAGCATTTAATGGATTTTCTTTTTATACACTTTTCAAATATTTTTAGAAATTGACTAGTTCAAATGAAAGTTAGAAACTTGACTATTTTATTATACTAAAAAATTTAATTAAACTTTACTGCTACATGCTTACTTTTGCTTCAGCAAAGGACTTACAACTACAACTGGGCTATCTGTGCTCTGCCCACCACGGGTATCGAAACTCGGTTTCTAGAGTTGTAAGTCCGCAGACATACTCCTGTGCCACTGGGGGACAACTACAAGTGAATAGCATACGTCTATATTTATTTTTACTACTGAAAACTATTAGTTAGACTCTACTAGTACAGCTCTATTTTTTACTCCTACAAAATAGTTGTAGCCGTAATAGGTATTCAAAATAATACTAGGTTTTACTAATATGCAGTCATGAGATATATAACTAGTTTACTCGTTAGTTTTGCAAATTTCAAAACGTGTAACAACAATTTATTTAAATTCAATAAATAAATGTAAAATTACTCGGGATTATAAATTCAGAAATTATGAGCAATATTTTTACGATGTATCAGAAAAAAAATCAGAAAAGTTAGTTATTTCAAATCTATTTTGATAAATACCCAAATAAATATATTTTAAGTATAGTTTCCTTACTTGCAATTGGAATTGTTAAAACCAATAGCTATCGTCTTAGTATTTTGAAATTATAGTATAGAATTTACAAATAGGCGTAGCAGAATTTGTGATTTTAGTTTTTTAACTTCTTTTAATTTCTCTCATCGAAACTTAATCTTTTAGTTTTTTAACTTTTAATTTTACACATCGAAACTTAATCTTTTAGTTTTTTAACTTTTAATTTTACACATCGAAACTTAATCTTTTGGTTTTTAACTTTTAATTTCACACATCGAAACTTAATCTTTTAGTTTTTTAACTTTTAATTTCTCACATCTTTTAGTTTTTACCAGTTCATACTTTTAGACTGTAGTTTAATAAAATGAGAACTTTAAATTTAATTAAACTTAAGTGGAGTTACAAATACTCTGATATTTGAAAAACTTATAACCTTGGAACTGTAGTTATAAGTTCAGGTCTACCTACTATCAATCCCAGCTCCAGGTTTTCTTAGCTGGGACAAGGGGGTGTTGAGACATGTAATGAAGTCAAATTAAAATTAGATTAATTGATGACATTTGCTTGAGGGGGAGTGGCAACGATATTTCAGGGAGTCCAGTCCTGCGCGCTTACAAGTTGCCCCCCCCCCCCAGTGGCATATCGGTATGTCTACGGACTCCCAACGCGAGAAACCGGGTTTCGATACCAGTGATGGGCAGAGCACAGATAGCCCTTTGTTTAGCTTTGTGCTTAACTAGAAACAAACGCTTAGAAGTTAAAAAATTGTAGTACAGTTTTCTTTTACAAGTAAGAAAATAAACGTACCTCTAATCATATCTTTGACGTTTTTATTAAATGAAAAACGCAGATTAAGGAATGTTGGATGAAGATTAATCTAAACTTACCTATAGTTATTCTTTAACGCTAAGTCTTTCTGTTCTTATGGAGTTTTCTAGGTGAGCAAATTATTTCAAAGGTTGAACTTATGGAGTTTTCTGGAAGGCAACATATGTCTACAGTAAAGAGAAAGAAATATTGAAATGCATAAATTTATATATATATATATTTACTGAAACAAGTCTCAAATGCACTTAACGTTAATTAAGAAACTACTTATACAATTTTGCCAAAGCACACGATCATTTGTATAATTTAAACGAGCACATCATATTGTCTCTGTCTGACGCTATAAAGAGTCAGCTATATAAAAAAAAAAACCTTTACGAACCTCTACTCAAACCGTACAAAAATAATTTGCTCACCTAGAAAATTCCATAAGTTCAAAATGATTTGTTCACCTAGAAAACTCCACAACTTTAAAATAATTTGCTCACCTAGAAAACTCCATAAGTTTAAAATAATTTGCTCACCTAGAAAACTCCATAAGTTTAAAATAATTTGCTCACCTAAAAAATTCCATAAGTTTAAAATGATTTGCTCACCTATTGTACAGAACAATATCTGGTCGCCATATTTTTTCACACGGGATTCGAATCTTAGTAAGGTTATTGAATTCTGTTGGATCCCATGATAGGTATTCATCAGTCCATTCCTATAAATAATATAATTAATTCATCACGACCGTAGTTAATTCAGAAACTCTTTATCGTTAGCGCCTTAAGCTTATAAAAACATTCACATGAAAAATCGTTCGTTAATACCTAAAGGACTCAGAAGAATGAGTTACTTTAAAGTTTTATCATGAAGAATCATTCTTGTAACTAAATGACTTAGAGTTTGGCTTACTTTAAAATCTGCGAGAGCTTAAGATGTTAAAAAGTCTTAACTCACAGTTTAGGAAATGTTACATTACTCTGAAGATTGTTTGAAGACATGAATTAGTTTAACATAGTAGTTGTGCTACCTTTTGATTTTGATTTTTGGTGTTATCATTATGTATTAATTATGAAAAGATTGTTTATATTTTTGTTAAAAAATATAAATGTATTCTACATTAGACATTTTTTTGATGATATAACTATTATTAATTTGTCGCTTCTGGGGAAGACGAAGACAATTACTTTCTGTAAGATTTTTTATAGTTTTTTATAGTTGTTATAGTTAGTAACCTATACAATCTCTTGAGCCTAAATATTAATGAGTAACATTTTATTTGTATATTTGTCCCCGGTAGGTCAACGATAAGCTTATAGACTTACAACGGTAAAATCCGGGGAGCGATTTTTCATAGTGGACAAAGCACAGATAAACTATTGTGCAGCTTTCCACTGAAGACAAACATTTATTATAATTTTACTTAGACACATTCGCAATATTGTTACACACTACAGACAACATTCAATAATTCACGAACCACCTGGACAGAACGTCGTACAATAACACTCACAATGGAAATAAAAAAAGACAAACTCTTACTCCTTGAAGTGGTGGTTACGAGGGCACGTAACACATATACCACATGAGTTTACTGTTAAACTGAAGATACTGATAACCATTTCGACTATATATCAAACCAACCCAACTGTGTAAAAGCAGGCGTTGCAGAATGAACAATCTTGAAAAAATAAGATTCGTAATACCGAAGAAGCTAAGAAGAAGGAAAAAGAGTAAATCACTACAACCCACATTAAAAAAGAAGCTAAACAATAAGAATAAAAAGAAAGAAAATTATAGACATATTCCCCTATGTCAGATGTGTTTCCGAAAATATATACATAGGATATATAAACAGCATAACGTGAAAACAGTATTCAGAAGCAACAACATAATATCATCACAGTAAGGACAAAACAAATCACCTAAAGACCCAACGGAGGGCAAAATCACCATTTATAATATCCCCCGGGTTTGTTTGTTACTTTTGAATTTCGCGCAAAGCCACACGAGGGCTATCAGCGCTCATCTCCTATGAATGAGGACTTTAATACATTGTAGAAACAAACAAAAAGCTAGAATTAAGGAGCATAACACACACACAAAACCCAATAATACCGATCTATGATATATACAACTGATTACCATGCAAGAGAATAGTACCATTTGATAAAACGGAGCAGTTCAAAAATTATAAAATTGTTTGAAGTTAAGCACAAAGCTACACAATGGGCCATCTATGCACTGCCCACACGGGTATCGAAACTAGTTTCTAGCGTTGTAAGTCCGCAGACATACCGCTGTGTCACTGGAGGGCAATAATAATAAGAATGATAAGATAAGAACCACGAGAAATAGAACGATAAAAGAAAAAACTACATCCATATAAACGATAATATACTCAGTCAATCTAGCATAGGAGAGAACACAACCTGTATACCCCCTTGAAAACATTTAACTAGTTAGTTAATTCAAGTTCTAATGGGGAAGTCCCCAGTCAAGTGCGTAACGAGTGTATTACTTATGATAACACATTCAGTCAACAGAACCTGGATAACCCTCTTCAAAACATTGAAATAATTCGTTGATTCAAGTCCTAATGAGGAAGATCCCAGCGAGACGCTAACGCACTTCACCTTCAATCAATAAGGCTCAGCATCGACTTCTGGCTAGTACAAACACAAAAATAGACCATCTTAGAACTTCCTTAAAGTCTGCAACAGATTAGCAGCAAAACGTAGAATAAAAACTAAATGCTAATTAATTGGTAATCAATCGTATAGGCTATTCACTATAGCAACAATTGAGAAACGCTATAGCCAATGTGAAATGTTAAAACTTAATTGATAACGAAATGTTATTGCTACTAATATATCACTGATTTCGAATAGATTTGTGACGTGTCTCGACAACGTAGTAAATATATTTGCAAATCATAAGTCTCTGATCTATTATTTGGAGATATTATGACGAAACCAAAGATAAATATAAGTATGAAAAAAGTAAATATATGAGATATTTGTTTCCGATATTTTCTCAAAGCTTCATAAGGACTGGCGCT